AACCAAAAACCAAAATGCGGTTATTGAGTGAATCTGGCTTCCCCATTGACTTTGCTTGTCCAAAGATCGCAAAAGGGGATCACGTGACCCTGGGACATTGCAACCATCATAAATGTGAGACAGCTGTCAGGCATCTGAATGTAAATCCCGTGGGACTAGCACTGATGACGTTACCTAGTTAGGGTAATGAAACATGTGCAAGAAAACAAGGAAACTCGGAGAGCACCAAGGACCCCATGGTGGTGGTGTTCTCCTCCCCTCTTCCTTCCCCTCCTCCTCTTCCTCCTCCTTCTCTTACTTCCCCTGCTCCTCCCTCTCTTCCTCCTCCTCTTCCCTCTCTTCCTTCCTCTCCTCATCTTCCTCCTCCCTGTCTTCCTTCCCCTCCTCTTCCTCCTCCCTCTCTCACCTTCCTCACCCCCCATCCTCTTTGCCCCCCATCCTCCCCCCCCCCACAAATCTCACCCTCTTCTAGCACTGATGATGTTACCTAGTTGGGTAATGAAACATCTGCAAGAAAACAACCAAGCTCAGAGAGTCACCAAGGGCCCCTCCTTTCAACCCTGAGCTACAGATATTCTCCTTTATTGCTGCTGCTCTTAAGTTCCCAAACCTCCCTCCTCAGCCTTGGCTAAAGTCCCTCTCTTGCCTTCCAGTGGCTGTCCCATGGGGCTGACTCCAATGGCAGTGGGGTCGCGGTACTCTTAGAACTCGCCAGGTTGTTCTCCCGGCTCTACACGTACAAAAGGACCCACGCCGCGTAAGAACGGGATCGGCTTTGGGGTAGGGAAAACCCCGCACCAGGTGGCAGGTGGCGGGTGCGCCTTTGCCAATAGAAATGTACCCATTGCCTCCTTCTCTTCTCTGCGCAGGTACAACTTGCTCTTCTTTGCATCCGGAGGTGGCAAGTTTAACTATCAGGGGACGAAGAGGTGGCTGGAAGACAACCTGGATCACACAGGTGTGAGCGGAGATTATTGCATTTTTTTTTATACGCTTGGGATTTATGGAGAAAGATTTGGCCTTCTTCCCTTTTTATTTTTCAATGGTTTATTAATTGAATTCGATTTTTATGTCTGCCCATCTCATCATGGTGGCTGGGGATAGGTTGCAGCAGTGGTCCATGGACCACTGGTGATCCGTGAGAAAATTTTGGTGGTCTGCAGAAAAATTATTTGCATTTTTTATATTGCACTAAATCAGGGGTCCTCAAACTACGGCCGATGGGACGGATACGTACAATGAACGCTTGTGTTGCTGCAGAGAGTGTCCCCCTTTGGGGTCTTTTTGTGCAGGTCGGAGTGGGGGGGTGAAATTCTGACTTGGGGTCTGCTTCAGCCTCCTGGTGGGGGCCTTTGGGCGAAGGCTGGAGGGAAGCACGGATGGTGGTAAAGAGCCAGAGGGCCTCGTTCCAGTGGGACTGCATCATGGCCTGGAACTGGCTGAACATCTCTGCTCACTGAGCCTCCAGGCGCCGGTACCTGGCCTTGTACTCCCACAGGTCTTCCCTCTGCTTATAAAGCCTATGCTCCTAGTTCTCATTGAGGTGCTTCTGCTGAGCCTCCTTTGTCGGTCAGATCCAATTTGAACTGAGCCGTTTTGCCGACTCTTTCTCATGGGGGCTGCTTAGCTCCAGCAACTGATTCCTGTTGGGGCCCTAAGGAGCATGGGTGGGGAGGTGAGGAGTGACTGGAGGGGCAAGTAGAGGCTGGCAAGGCGCCCCTCAACATGAGTGACATTGAATTGGTCACACCCACCCAGTCACATGACCACCTAGCCACACCCACCCACCCAGTCATTAGGCAGATCATTTTAGTGGTCCGCGGGATTTAAAATAATGAATTAATGGCCCCTGATGTCTGAAAGGTTGGTGATCCCTGGGTTAAAGCACCCTGTCAAATGAGAACCAAAAACAAACAATATATAAAGCAAATTCAGAAAATCCTTGACTTAATGGCCACAATTGAGCCCAAAATTTCCTTGGATAAGCCAGGCTGTTGTTAGGGGAGTTTTGCCCCCATTTTACTATTGTTTCTGCTGCAGTCGTTAAGTGAATCCATCATTAAGCGAATCTTGGTTCCCTCATTGACTTTGTCAGAAGACCACTGGGAAGGTTACAGATGGTGATCACATGATCTCAGGTAGTGCCACCGTCATAAATACATGCCACTTGCCAAGCAAGTTTTGATCGTGATGTGAAAAAGTGCGAAAAATGGTCGTAACTCACATCCCCAAAGAAGACTGGGGAATTCTGGGAGTTGAAGTCCTCCAGGCTTAAAGTTGCCAAGGTTGGAGACCCCTTCTTCAAAGGGTTTTAAACCCTTCATGGCTTGGCACAGTCTCCCCCATTGTTTCTACCTGTTCATCCGGTTAGACAGGACGGGCATGCTTTAGGCCTTATCGGTTGTTAAGGAATGCGGGTTGATAGGGCTGGGATGGACCCTTTCTCCTGTAAAGCTCAATTTCTGGAACATTCTTTCTGCTGGTCTTGATCCTGCAGGTGTTTCATAAGACCTTAAAGACCTGCCACCGTGCCCGGACCTGAGGGCCCAAGTATGAGCAAGACCTATTTCTTGGGGGTGTTACCCTGTTTTCCCGAAAATAAGACCTCCCCGGATAATAAGCTCAATCGGGCTTTTGAACGCATGCGCTAAAATAAGCCCTCCCTGAAAATATTGCAACACAGCAGCAGCCATGAGGTGACCACGTTCTCCTCCTCCTGCTGCACCTCAAAAATAATAAGACCTCCCTTATATCTTGTTGTTGATAAATAATTTTAATAAGGAAGTAATGAAAAATTGGTGTGTGTGTATATATATATATATATATATATATATATGTGTGTGTGTGTGTGTGTGTGTGTGTATATGTATATATATGTATATGTGTGTATATATATATATGAAGTGAATATTTAGAATACTTTGTTGAAAAATGAAGGAATAACAATTATGTTTGAATGTATGATGTATAAGGGCAACAATGAGCATAAGCATACTCGATGGATGATTGGCGGGATTGTACATAATTGAAAATAGTGATGTATAAACAAACAGTTGGTAAATTCTTTAATACTGTAAAAATATTCAGAATGAGATAAGTGATTACATAAAGGTATATTGTTATTAAATAGACAATCAAGAATGCAAGGGAATTAGGTTCATTGAAAAGAAAGAAATATTGATCATAATTGAATATATGTTGTACAATGAAAGTGAGGTATCTAGTTATATTAGACGGAAAATCTGTGATTGTATATGTAATTGAAAATATGGATGCACAATACAAGCGTTTGTGCATCCATATTTTCAATTACATATATACAATCACAGATTTTCTATCTAATATAACTAGATGCTATATGCTAACGACATGCTATATGTAATGGATGAGAATTTTTTTAATGTTGTCTTTTATGTTTAAAAAAAAATACTGAAAAAATAATAATAATAAGACCTTCCCAAAAATAAGGCCAAGCGCTTATTTCGGGGGTTCAAAGAAAATAAGACCCTGTCTTCTTTTTGGGGAATCATGGTACAGAGACGGTTCGTCCTCGACTTACAACGACAATCAAGCCCAATATTTCTGCGGCCAGGTGAAACGTGTATTGAAGTGAACTTTGCCCCATTTTACGACCTTTCTTGCTGCAGTTGTTAAGTGATTCACTGCAGTTGGTTAAGCGAGTGATACGGTTGTTAATTGAACCCGGCTTCTCCGTTAACTTTGCTCATCGGAAAGGCGCAAAAGTGGATCACATGACCCCCGGGACCGTCACAAATGCGAGTCAGTTGCCAAGCGTCTGAATTTTGATCGCGTGACTGACCGTCCTAGGGGTGAAAAATAGTCCTTAAATCCCTTTTTTGCAGCCCCCTTGTAACTTCAAAGCGTCACTAAGCGAACTGTTGTATGTCGGGAACTGCCTGTAATTGTGTGGCTTTCTCTTCATTCCAGATTTCAGTCTGCTGCAGGATAATGTGGCGTTTGTCCTCTGCCTGGACACTCTGGGGAGGGGCAACAGTCTTCACCTACACGTCTCAAAGCCTCCGAAAGAAGGGACTCTTCAGCACACCTTCCTGAAGGAGCTGGAACAGGTAAAGGGGAGGTGGGATGCCTTTGGGGTGAGGGATGGGGTCACAGCTGCCTCCTTCTCCAGCCTGGGTTGGTGGACTTTCCTTGCCCCTCTCCTCCGGGAAGCTATGGAAACAGTGGAGTGAGAATAGAATAGAAGGGGAGGGAAGAGAAGAGAAGAGAAGGAATAAGAAATAAGGAAAGAATACTACAGAATGGAGTGGACTGGATTGGACTAGAACAGAACAGAATTCTTTATTGGCCAAGTGTGGTTGGACACCCAAGGAATTTCTCTTTGGTGCAGATGCTCTCAGTGTACATAAAAAAAGATACATTTGTCACGAATCATAAGATACAACACTTAATGATAGTCTTAGGCTACAAATAAGCAATCAAATCATACTAGGAAACAATATAAATAGTAAGGACACAAGGAACAAAGTTACAGTCCTGCAGTCATAAGTGGAAGGAGGTGGGTGATAGGAACGATGAGAAGACTAATAGTAATAGTAATGTAGCCTTAGTGAATGGTTTGACAGTGGCGAGGGGATTATTTGTTTAGCAGAGCGATGGCATTTGGGGAAAAACTGGTCCTTGGGTCTAGTGGTCTTCATATACAGTGTTCTATAGCATCGTTTTCAGGGTAGGAGCTGAAACAATTTATGCCCAGGATGTGAGGGATTAAATCACTTCATAGCCAGCATGCTATGGTAGTCCTCGTTTTACATCCCTCATGGAGCCTGTGATAGTCATAAAGCAAGTCATCATGTAGCCGACTCAATTTTATGGCTTTTTTTTTTTTGCAGTGGTCATTAAATAAAACACCATGGTTGTTACGTGAATCCAGAGTTGTTAAGCAAATTGCAGCGGTTAAGGCATTTTTGTTGAAACTTGGAAATAAATGCTAGTTTATTTGACAGTTTCTTGTAAAAAAAAAAAAGTCATAAATCACGATCATAGCTGTAGATACAGGCCAGTTGCCCAGCAACCAAAATGCAATCATGTTCCCTTTGGAACTTCCAAACTGGGTTACAAGTACCTTTTTGGAGGGTCAATAACTTTGAACGATTGCAAAGCAACCAGTCATAAGTCAAGAACTACAGGTGGCACACGGAGCCATTTGTGAGGGCACGCGAGACATTGCCCTGTCAGCTGGCCAGCACACATGCATGCACTGGCCAGCTGACTTTGGCCCTCTTTTGAGGCCTTTCTTTGCCCTCCGGAGGCTTCCCTGAAGGCTCTGGAGGACAAAAACAGTGTTACGGGCTTTGCTCGTAGGGCTGGTTTTTGCCCTCCAGAGCCTTCAGGGACCTTCAGGAGGCTTCCCTGAAGGCTCTGGAGGGCAAAAAAGGTTAGGCATCATTGGCCTACCTAGAGCAGAGGTCTCCAAACTTGGCAACTTTAAGACTCATGGACTTCAACTCCCAGAGTTGCCAAGTTTGAAGATCCCTGGCCTAGAGCAATAGCTCCATCTGCTGGCTGCTTAAAGAAGAACAGATGCAAAGCTCTTCATTGAAGAGAAAATGTATAGCTCAAGGTTTGAAGTGTGGGACACTTGGTGCTCTCTGAGCTTGGTTGTTTTCTTTGAGATGTTTCATGACCAAACTTGGTAATCACATCAGTGCTAGAAGGGGGTGATATTTGTGGAAAGGGGGAGGAGGAATATTCACACCATTCAAAAGAGAACATCATGAAACTGAAGGAAACAAACAGACCAGAATTATCTCCAAAAGCCAACACTCAGATAAAAGAAATTAACCCCCAGGCAAATGAAGAAAGAAACAATACCTCAATCAAGGAACTACTAGGGGGGTAAAACTACATACACACCTGTTCTGACCCCCCCCCCTCCCGTACGGTGAGTCACGCCGACACAAGATTACTGTTAGCCACACTTTATTCACAGTAATTACTCACAGACAAGACTTTGGCAGCAACCCAGACTCCCACAGATAAGACATACACACAAGAGCTTTTCCAGCTTTAGTAAAACGGTTGTGTCCTGCAAAAGGTCTCCTCCCAACGTCTCTTCTTATATACTCTCTTGGGAGGAGCCTAATCACAACCACCTGGCCCCAATTATCTTCTATGTCTCCGTAATTGCTGCCGGCGCTTATCCGCCCGTCTCTGCCTGGAATCCGGGACCAACTCCCTTAGCTCTCCACTGCTCCAGGGACTGACGTCTTCACCACTGCTCCAGGGCCTGACG